TCACCATGTTGGTCAGGCTGGTCTCAAACTCCTGACCTTGTGATCCGCCCGCCTCGGCCTCCCAAAGTGCTGGGATTACAGGCAGGAGCCACCGCACCCAGCCTATATATATTTTATATGTATCAAGTATGTATATTTGAGATATATATATAAAACAAAGTATATATATTTTGTAAATACATATTTTATAAAAACATAAGATATAAATAATGCATAATGAATGATGGTAAAGATAATAATAATAAAAACAGCGCTGCAGTCCCATCCCCTTTTTGTACTCACCCCCTAAAAATCCCTATAAAAATCAAGTTTATTAAGGAGCAAATTCCACCCTTTTTATTTAGAAGCCAGTGTCTATAGGCTCGCTCTTGGGTTGGATTAATTCCAGGGTAGAGGAAAACTCCAGTTTTGAGCTGGAAACGCACCCCTGCTTTTCAGGACTTTTTAATTTTGATTTTTTCAACTTTTATTTTAGGCCCAGGGGTCCATGTACAGGTTGCTATATAGGTAAATTGCGTGTCACGGGGGTTGGGTGCACAGATTGTTCCGTCCCCCAGGTACTAAGTGGAGCACCGGAGAGGTAGTTTTTCCGCCCTCACTTTCCCCACGAGTCAAGCAGCAAAAATGCGAGGCCTTGTGGGCGGGGCCGGGGTGCCCGCTCTTGCCACTGGTCCAATCACAGCACGGCGCTCCGCCTGGCCGGTCACCGATTGGTGGTTGCCATAGCTCCGGGCGTTCGCTTGACAAGATGGCGGCGGTGGGGCGGTGTTTTCGTGTCTGAGTCCTTCTCGGGTTCTAAGGCGGGCGCGGTTCTGCTGGGCCCGGCCCGCGAGGTCTAAGGCATGGGCTTCCAGTCTCCGGCCGCTCTTCTTTTGAGGCTTCTCCTTCTGCAGGGCGTCCTGAGGCTGGTGTGGGGGGACCTGGGTGTGTACGGCGCGGCAGGGACCTCGGTGGGCCGGGGCTAAGGGGACTGGGCGTTAAAAGGGCCAGACCTGGGCTCTCCCGGGAGTTTCGGGAGTCGAGACCGCCAAAGGAAGCCGCCACACACACCTTAGGCGGTGACTCTTCCACTGCTAATCCCTCCTTATCCCCTTTCCTTCCCGCCTAGCTTTCATCCCTCCTTTTATCCGAATGTCCGGCCCTGCGGTCAGCGCATCCCTGGTCGGAGACACCGAGGACGTGACCGTGTCTCTGACCGTGCTGCAGGACGAGGCGGGTAAAGTCTGGCCCTTATTTTGGGGAGGGTGGGGGTTGGACTGGATCCAGGCCTCCCAGGGAGCCTGGCGAGGTGGCATCCTTTGGGCCCCCTGCCTCTGTTCTCTGTAAAGTCGCATGGGGAGAAAAGGATCGGGGCGCTGCTGTAGGCCAGAGAGGACAGACGGACAGGTTCGAAGAAAGCTTGAAATAATAATGGCTAGCATTCATTGAACTAACATCATGCATCATCCCATTTTCCTTGTAAGAGCAGTAATATCTTTTCATCCCCTTTGACCAGTGAAGAAACAAATTCAGAGAGGTTGTCACTGTCCCAGTATCAAGCAGCTTGTAAAGGGCCCAATCTTGGGCTGTAACGTGAGTCCATCCTAGGCAGTCTGACTCGAGCTGATGGGCTGTGCTGCCTTTGCGTGCTGGTCTTCTCTTCTTTAGGAATATTGCCAGTTCCGACGTGTGGAGTGCTGAGCAATGAGACGGAAGACTGGAGTGTGACTGTGACCCCTGGTGCGGTAAGGCAGAAGTAAACCTTCTCTGTAGCCTGTGAAGAGGCCCCCAGCTAGGGTTTCTGCACTGCTGTCTTTATTTGACAAGGCATAGCTTTCTCCATGCTCTGAACAATCATGAAATTGTGGGCTGTTGGATCTGGTAGACACTTAGCCAGCCCACGGTTCCTTACCCTGGGGTTAGGAGTCCTTGGATGCATTTTAGGGGGTCTGTGAACTCTGTGAAATTGTGTGTAAAGTTCTGTTTGTATGTGTATTTTTCTGATGAGAGGGTCATCAGTTTCCTTCAGATCATCAAATGGGTCAATGATTCAAAAAAGCTTTATGCCAGGCATTGTGGCTCAAGCCTGTACTCGTAGCACTTTGGGAGGTTGACACGGGAGGATTGCTTAAGCCTAGGAGTTCCAGACCAGCCTGTAACATAGCGAGACCCTGTCTCTACAAAACAATTTTTAAAAAATTAGGTGGGTGTGATGGCGCACACCTATAGTCCCAGGTACTTGGAGTGGGGTGGGGGAGCTGAGGCAGGAGGATTATTTGAGCCCAGGAGTTCAGGACTGCAGAGAGCTATGATCATACCACTGCACTTCATCCAGCCTGGGCAACAGAGCAAGACCCTGTCTCTTAAAAAAAAAAAAAAGCTGGCCAGGCACGGTGGCTCATGCCTGTAGTCCTAGCACTTTGGGAGGCCGAGGAGGGCGAATCATCTGAGGTCAGGAGTTCAAGGCCAGTCTGGCCAACATGGTGAAACCGATCTCTACTAAAAATATAAAAATTAGCTGGGCGTGATGGCGGGCACCTGTCATCCCAGCTACTTTGGAGGCTGAGGCAGGAGAATCACTTGAACCTGGGAAGCAGAGGTTGCAGTGAGCTGAGATCACACCACTGCACTCCAGCCTGGGTGACAAGCAAGACTCCGTCTCAAAAAAAAAGAAAAAAGCTTCATAACTACTGATCTTGCCCAACTCTGGGCTTGTGTATAAGGATACTCAAACCTGGAGAGATTAAGCATCTTCTATTTAGTAAGTGTTTATTGGGTGCCTAGTATATGCAACATCAATTCTGGAGATAAAAGGATGAGAAAGACAAACTCTGCTTGTACCCCAGGAATGAACATGTACATGTCTAAAGTCATTCTGGGATAAACTGAGGATTGTTTTCATTGACTTTTGTGTATTTACTCTTCCACTGATAGGATGATAAAGAAGCTAAAAAGGTACACAGTAAACTGAGTTTATTTATCAGATTTGTGTTTAGCTTTTTCTAAGTATCCCAAAGTTGTTTGCTTTTATGTTAAGGAGTAGGAATCAGGGCTTGCATGATACCATAGGTTTATGGGGTGGAACTGAAGATAACTGTGTCGTCTTTGTATACATTTCCCTTTTATAAAATGAACGGAGGCCGATGTGTGCTTTTATTGTGTTTTCCATTATGTATTCTTATAGACCCTGTTTTGAGTCACTTAAAAAATACAGCAATCTTTTCCTTTCAGAAGGTGTTGGAAGTGACAGTAAGGTGGAAGAGAGGTCTGGACTGGTGTTCCTCCAATGAGACAGATTCCTTCGCAGAGTCCCCCTGTATCCTCCAGACCCTTCTGGTTTCAGCATCTCGTAATTCACCCTGTTTAGCACATCTACTCATTCAAGTGGAAATTTATGCCAACTCTTCTCTGACCCATAATGCCTCAGGCAAGTGAAGTCTTTGACTGTGAAAACTTTCCTGTTGGTCCCAGCTACTTAGGAGGATGAGGTAGGAGGATGGCTTGAGCCTGGGAGGTTGATGCTACAGTGAGCTATGATCACGCCACTGCGTTCCAGCCAGGGCAACACAGCGAGACCCTGTCTCAAAAAAAAAAAAAAAAAAAAAGAAAAGAAAAATTTGTGTCAAGCTTACCTGTTTGATTATAAGTATATGCCATGCAATTTGTAAAGTATACTTCACTTGAGTCTGTCTTGCCTTCCTAAACTTATTTTTCTTTAGTTTTCTTTTAAAAATTTTCATTTTGTACTATTTTATGTAACATTTATTTGATCTTGCTCTACTGCTCTACTATTTGCTTCTTTGTAAGCCACCTTGAATCCTTTTTGGGAGAAGGTGAAATTTGTTTATGTACCTTGATTCTTTTTTGTTTGTTTGTTTGTTTTTTTTTGGAGACGGAGTCTCACTCTGTCGCCAGGCTGGAGTACAGTGTTGTGATCTCGGCTCACTGCAACCTCCACCTCCTGGGCTCAAGCGATTCTCCTGCCTCAGCCTCCCAAGTAGCTGGGACTACAGGTGTGCGCCACCACGCCCAGCTAATTTTTGTACTTTTAGTAGAGATGGGGTTTCAGAATGTTGGCTGGGATGGTCTCGATCTCCTGATCTTATGATCTGCCCACCTTGGCCTCCCAAAGTGCTGGGATTACAGGCATGAGCCAACCGTGCTGGCGCATGCATTGATTCTCATGACTGCATCTTAAGAAGAAGAAAGGAAGGGTGGCCAGACACAGTGGCTCCCAGCCTGTTATCCCAGTGCTTTGGGAGGCCAAGGCGGGGGAATTTCTTGAGCCCAGGAGTTCAAGACCAACCTGGGCAACATAGCAGATACTGTCTCTATAAAAAAATTTAAAAAGTTAGCTGGGTATGGTGGTGCCCGCCTGTAGTCCTAGCTACTAGGGAGGCTGAGGTGGGAGGATCGCTTGAGCATAGGAGTTTGAGGTTGATGAAGTTTACATCATTTCCAGTTTTTTTTTTTAAGTTTTTTTTTTTATTTTCATTTCTTTTAGAGACAGGGTCTCACTCTGTCACCCAGACTGGAGCTAGAGTGCAAGGGCATGATCCTGGCTCACTGCAGCCTCAACCTTACTGGTTCAGGCGATCCTCCTGCCACAGCCTCCATAGTAGCTGGGGCTACCGGCGTGCACCACCACACCTGGCTAGTTTTTACATTTTTTGTAGAGACAGGGTCTCACTATGTTAGCCAGGCTTGTTTTGAACTCCTGGGCCCAGGCGATCGTCCCGCCACGGCCTCCTGAAGTGCTGGGATTACAGGCAGGAGCCACTGCACCTGGCCTGTTCCCAGCTTTTGATGCTACAGCAAAGATCATTATGCCCATGTACATGAATCTTTGGACGTGAGAAAATGGTTTTGTGTTAATCTCCGTCTCACTTGATGTTAGTGTTCTTAAACCAAAAGAACTTTCAACTAGATGTGCCCAGAGGGCTCTGCTGTCATGAGTGCTACCGCTATGTCCCCTGTCCCCTGTGGCAAACTCTGACATCTGTTGCCTTTATGGCCACGTGGCATGGAGAGAGAAGCGTTCCAGACTTGAGTAGCAAAAGTCTGTTCACTGGAGACTCCTTTACTGCCACTTCTCTTATTACATCCCTAACTGTGGTCCTCCTTGTGCTTCCGGAAGTTTAGGATGATAAGACGAGTTTTGACAGCTCCCTTCAGCAGACTACTGTGCCCTCAGTGTACTTGCATGGAAAGGCCTCCAAGATGAATGAAGTGAAAAAAGCAACTGCAGATGGCTGCCTGCAGCGTGCTATCTTTTGCATAAAGGAGGCAGAAATGAAAACATTTGCATAAAGAAATTCTGGAAGGATGTTGGAGAAGCTAATCATGTTCTACCAAGTTGGAGGGTGATGTGGGAACGGGAAAGGGCTGACAGTGAGGACTTTTTAAATATGCTTTTGATTTTTTGGAACCTTGCAAATGTGGTACCTACTTAAAAGTTTTAAATTTTTCTATGGCTTAAAATTCAAAACAAAGCCAAAAAGAAGTATTCAATGACAAAAAAAAAAACAAAAAAAAAAACAAAAAAAAAAGCCCCAAAACAACAGGAGGGGTTCATGATAACTGCACTGTTCAAAGCACTGACTTTTTTCCTTTGAGAAATATGCTTGAGGCTGGGTGGTGGCTCATGCCTGTAATCCCAACACTTTTAGAGGCCAAGGCGCGCAGACCACTTGAGCCTAGGTGTTCAAGGCCAGCCTGGGCAATGTGGCGAAACCCCGTCTCTACAAACAAATACGACAATTAGCTTTGTGTGGCAGTGGGTACCTGTAGCCCTAGCTACGAGGGAGGTTGAGGTCGGGGGATTGCTTGAGCCCAGGAGGTGGAGGTTGCAGTGAGCCAAGATTGCTCCATGTACTCCAGCCTGGTTGACAGAGCAAGACCTTGTCTCAAAAAAAAAAAAGGAAAATATACTTAAGTATATTTAGGTAATATTTTAGAACACCAAACCTAGAAAATTGAACGTCTTTGTATATGAGTGATTGAATTGTCTCCTCTGACCCCATGAACGCATGAAAAATTTTTTACCCAGCCAGCCAGCGATTAAAACTAGAAAAAGAATGGAAGCACGGACAGGAGGCATGTGTCATATCAAGTAACAACGAAGCCAGTGAACAATGTAGAAAACATAAATCAACACACAAACGTCTATTTGTGTAACACATAGTAAAACCCTATTCTAAAGTGCCTCGTGGCTGGGGGTGGTGGCTCATGCACTATGCCTGTAATTCCAGCACTTTGGGAGGCCAAGGTGGGAGGATCACTCAAGCCCAGGAGTTTGAGACCAGCATGGACAGCATAGTGAGACCCCGTCTTTACAGAAAATATGAATGTTAGCTGAGCATGATGGTGCACACATGTGGTCCCAGATACTTGGGAGGCTGAGGTGGGAGGATCACTTGAGCGCTGGGAGGTTGAGGCTGCAGTGAGCTGATTGTGCCACTGCACACTTCAGCCTGGGCAACAGAGTGAGACCCTGTCTCAAAAAAGAAATCAATTAGTTAATAGAGTGCCTTGCTTGTGTCACATGGGTTTGATAACACTGAGGGTCAGACCCTTACCACTGTAACGTGGTCTGCGATGTGGACCTTCTTGTTCCGGATACCATTGATGTATCATTGACCTTCTGCTATGTTACAGCATGGAACAGATGGTTAGCTGTTCTTTAGATACTTCACCCATTGTGTCGTTAAAGTTAACTGTTATGTGGGTTTTAAACAAATAGTTGCTGCATGGTTTTCTAACGTGTAAAAGTAAAATTCAACAGAATGAAACTTTTATCTGATAAATGATCCATGAGAAACCCAAAGCATTACTGCCACTGAATTCTGAGTTAGGAGGCTGAAGTGTCGTGTAACATTTCTTCTTCAAAGAGGAAAACAAGTACAGAAACCTGTAATATAGTGAAGAGTTATAAACAATGGGCCCTACTGATGTTTACTTCTTTAGCATTTCTTACGTGTTTTCCCTTGTCTCCAGGTATATTATCCCCAAGTGCATCACCCCTCTCTTGAATTCCTGTGTCCTTTCCTGAGCTGCTTTCTCTGGCCTTGTCCCATTCACACCTGCCACCTTCTCCCTTGCACCACAGTGTTCCCCTATTCATCCGCCCCCTCTGTCTTCCACCTACAGTTCTCCAGTAGCCCCTCTTACCTGTACAAACTCTTTTTTTTTTCTTTTAGTAGAGACGGAGTTTCTCCATGTTGGTCAGGCTGGTCTAAAACTCCTGACCTCAGGTGATCCACCCGCCTCGGCCTCCCGAAGTGCTGGGATTACAGGCGTGAGCCACTGTGCCCGGCTGCCTGTACAAACTCTTATGTGTGTTTCAGGCTCAGCGCATTCTCTCTGCAAGTCTTCCTGACACCCAGCCTAAGCCACCTGCCCTCCCTGGGTTCCCAGGACAGATCTATTTCGGTGTTTACTCCTTTATGGTCACATGATCTCTTTACCTGTCTCCTCCCTCTGAGAATGCGAGTCCCTCAGGGAAGCTGCTGTGTCTCACTGTATCATCCCTGCATAGCCCAGCCCTCCATACTCTCCTGGTCAGACCACATTAGTCCCACCTGCACTATTGGGTACCACAGCCACGAGCCACGTCTGGACACTGGACAGTTGAAAGGGGATGGGTCTTAATTGAGATGTGCTGTAACTGTTAAATAGCCACCAGTTTTTGAGGACTTACTGTGAAACAAAGAATGTGGAATAGCTCATTTGTAATTTTTACACTGATTGCCTGTTGCAATGATATTATGTTGGATGTATTGGGTTCAGTGCAATATATTATTAAGTTAATTTTATCTGTTTCTTTTTTGTAGTCTGGGCTACTTTTTGTATTTTTATTAGAGACAGGGTTTCACTATGTTGGCCAGGCTGGTCTTGAACGCCTGACCTCAGGTGATCTGTCCACTTTGGCCTCCCAAAGTCCTGGGTTTACAGGTGTGAGCCACCCTGCCCAGCCTAAAATCAGTACATTATGTATATACTAACTTGTGACTCTTAGTCAATTGATTATCTTCCAGATCAACTATGACTTCTTTGGTTCATTGTAACTGGCGTGTTTTCTTATATTTGGGTTTTTGTTGGAGTGGTAGATGTAGGCGTCATATATTTCATGGATTCCTTAATGTCGAATATTTGGTAATGATGATTTACAAAACAAGATAATTCAGCTTTCTTTTGAATGTTAAAAATGTGACCATGCTTTGTTGGAATGTTTCTTAGCTGAATTTTTCTGTTGTGTGTACTTTTCAGAGAACGTGACTGTCATTCCTAACCAGGTGTATCAGCCCCTTGGCCCTTGTCCTTGTAATTTAACAGCTGGGGCCTGTGATGTTCGCTGCTGCTGTGACCAGGTACGTTCTTTGGTTATTGGGCATAAAGGTTATGCTTCCTGTGAGAACACCAGCAGTTCCACCAACAGCTTTATTTTTTATTTTTCAAGATAGGATCTTGCTCTGTTGCCCAGGCTGGAGTATGGTGGTGCAATTATGGCTCACTGCAGCCTCGACCTCCTGGGCTCAAGTGATTTTCTTACCTCAGCCTCCTGAGTAGCTGGGACCACAGGCATTCACCATCACACCTAGCTAATTGTTTTGTATCTTTTGTAGAGGTGGGATTTTGCCATATTGCTCAGGCTGGTCTCAAATTCCTGGGATCAAATAGTCCTCCTACCTTGGCCTCCCAAAACCAAAACTGAGTTTATATTTTCTATTGCAAATTGTTTTCAAATTGAGTATTTTTTTAAATTTCAAAGTTTTGGCAGGCGCAGTGGCTCATGCCTGTAATCCTAGCACTTTGGGAGGCCGAGGTAGGCGGATAACCTGAGGTTGGGAGTTTAGGACCAGCCTGACCAACATGGAGAAACCCCATCTCTACTAAAAATACAAAATTAGCCAGGCGTAGTGGCATGCGCCTGTAATCCCAGCTACTCAGGAGGTTGAGGCAGGAGATTGCTTGAACCAGGGAGGCGGAGGTTGCAGTGAGCCGAGATTGTGCCATTGCACTCCAGCCTGGGCAACAAGAGCGAAACCCCATTTCAAAAAAAAAAAATCACACAACTTTTGAGTAAAATTTTTTTTTTTTTGAGATGGCCTCCCAAAGTGCTGGAATTATCGGCATGAGCCACCGCGCCCGGCTTTATTTTTTTTCTTTTAGCCTTAGAGTGGGTACAACATATAAACTGAGTATTTTGGGTTTTTTCTTTCTTTTTTTTTTGAGACAGAGTCTTGCTCTGTTGCCCACGCTGGAGTGCAGTGACATGATCTCAGGTCACTGCAACCTCCACCTCCTGGATTCAAGTGATTCTTGTGCCTCAGCCTCCCGATTAGCTGGAACTACAGGTGTGCGCCTCCACACCTGGCTAATTTTTATATTTTTAGCAGAGACAGGGTTTCCACTGTCTCTACTAAATGTTGGCCAGGCAGGTCTTGAACTCCTGACCTCAGGTGATCTGCCCGCCTCGGCCTCCCAAAGTGCTGGGATTACAGGCGTGAGCCACTGCGCCAGGCCTAAATTGAGTATTTTCTTATCTGGCATTGTCAGTCTAGTTTTTGGAAGAAGAAAAGAATATCTCTTTGGATAAAATCACGATTATGAAGATCATACTGAGGGGATGGTTTTAATATTATTTATTTAGAAGCCTTTAAGAAAATATAAAAACAGAAAGAACAGGCCTGGTGAAGTGGCTCACGTCTGTAATCCCAGCACTTTGGGAGGCCGACGTGGGTGGATCGCTTGAATTCAGGAGTTGGATACCAGCCTGGGCAACATGGCAAAACCCCATCTCTACAAAAATTAGCTGGGCACGGTAGTGCAGGCCTGTAGTGCCAGCTCGGGAGGCTGAGCTGAGAGGATTGCTTGAGCCCAGGAGGTCAAGGCTGGAATGAGCTGTGATCACACCACTGCATTTCAGCCTAGACGACAGAGCAAGACTCTGTCTCAAAAAAAAAAAAAAAAGAAAAAAAAGAAAAGAAAAGAAAAAAGAACACAGTTTTTCAGTGATTTTTAGTAAATTTACACAGTTGTACAACCATCACCACAATCTAACTTGAGAACATTTCTACCACCCCAGAAAGAAATTGTGTGTCCCTGTAGCCATTCCTATCTCCATCCTTCATCCAGGCCACTGTGAATCTGCCTCTGTCTCCATGAATTTGTCCATTTTGGACATTGCACATATATGGAATCATGCAATATGTGGTCTTCAGTGACTTTCTTCTTGCACTTAGCATGATGCTTTTAAGGTTCTTTTGCCTTATAGCAGCTGTCACCACTTCATTCATTTTTGGTGGTTGAATCCTATTCCGTTGTATGGCTATATCACGTATTTCTTATCTATTTATTGGCTAATGGACATTTGGGTTGTTTCTGTTTTTTGGCCTTTATGAATAGCGCTGCTATGAACATTTGTGGACAGGTTTTTGTGTGAACGTGTTTCCATTTCTCTTGGGGATCTATATAGTGGAGTTGCTGGGTTGCATTGTTATTGTAAGTTTAACCTTTTGAGGAACTAGTTTCTGAAGCAGTTGCACCATTTTAAATTCTCATCAGCAATGTATGTGGGTTACAGTTTCTCTATATCCTCACCAACACTTGTTATTATTTGTCTTTTTGGTTATAGCCATGCAAGTAAGTGTGAACTGATATTTCTTCATGATTTTCTTTTTTTTAAATTTTTTTTTTTTAGACAGGGGCTTGCCCTGTTGCCCAGGATAGAATGCAGTGGTGCAATCACAGCTTACTGCAGCCTCAACCTCGCAGGCTCAAGTGATTCTCTCACCTCAGCTTCCCAAGTAGCTGGAACCACAGGTGCATACCACCACACTCAGCTAATTTGTGTGTTTTTTTTTGTGAAGGTGGGGTCTTGCTGTGTTGCCTAGGCTGGTCTAGAATTCCTGGGCTCAAGCAATCCTCTGACCTCAACCTCCCAAAATGCTGGGATTACAGGCATGAGCCACCATGCCCCGCCCTCATTGTGACGATTTGTATTTCTCTAGTGGCAAATGATGTAGAAGATCTTTTCATGTGCTTATGGGATATTTGTATATTTTCTTTGGAGAAATGTCTGTTTATACCCTTCACCCATGTTTTAAATTGGGCTGTCTTTTTGTTGAATTGTAAGAGGGTTCACTATATATTCTGGATCCTAGTTTGCCGAGACCAGCTCGGTCAGGGAGACCCTAACCCAGTGGCGCTAGAGGAATTAAAGACACACAGGAATAGCAGAGGTGTGGAGTGGGAAATCAGAGATCTCACAGTCTTCAGAGCTGAGAGCCTTGAACAGAGTTTTACCCACGTATTTATTAACAGCAAGCCAGTCATTGGCATTGTTTCTATAGGTATTAAACTAACTAAAAGTATCCTTTATGGGAAACGAAGGGATGGGCCGAATTAAAAGAATATGTTGGGCTAGTTAACTGCAGCAGGAGCATGTCCTTAAGGCACAGATCACTCATGCTATTGTTTGCGGCTTAAGAATGCTTTTAAGCGGTTTTCCGCCCTGGGCGGGCCAGGTGTTCCTTGCCCTTATTCCCGTAAACCCACAGCCTTCCAGCGTGGGTATTATGGCCATCATGAACGTGTCACAGTACTGCAGAGCTTTTGTTTATGGTCAGTTTGGGGTTCCGGTTTATGGCCAGATTTTGGGGGGCTTGTTCCCAACATGTTCCCCTTCTTTGATTTGCAAAGTGATAAAAGCAAAGGCAGCTTTGTCACGGTGAGCTACTTCTTGGAGGAGTCAGGATCCACATCTGCAGACTCTACAAAGACAAACAACACAGATTAAAAGCACAATCATCATTGAAATTACAGAACTTCCAAGTGTTTTTATCCATTTTAATGGGTTGCTAGCTGCTAATCTGTTTGCAGCTCCTTTAAGCACTCCAGTTCCTGGCATTAAGGTCAGGTGTGCCTGGGATGCTTCAAATATTTGTTCTTTTAATTTTGCTATATCCAAAAACAAGTTTGTAGAGTGTCCTTCTACATGCTTTTTTATTCTTTCCCAAATTTTGATCTTATTAAGAGCTATTAATAGTTTCCACAGATCCTTAATGTTTAGTTCCTACAGTGGGCCATATCATTTGAGGTTGAGGTGCCACTATACTGTCATGGTTTCAGATAATAGGAACTCTCACCGTACTTCTTATTATATCTACCATCTGACTGTTTCGTTCAGATCAACTGAACATAGTGTGGCCGTGGCATGCAGACCGAGAGGTGTAATTTAAGCTAAACATCTCCTTAGGGGATCAATTAATAATGATTCCATAGGAATCGTGCAGCACCTCTGCCTGTTCTGCAATGCAATCTTCCTAAACAAGTACGTTCATTATTTCTGGCCAGGTTCAATTTTGTATACAAATGGGTTTTTGAGGGCGGTATGCCTCAATTATAGGAGCAGATTTATTATGGTAAATACTGAGACCAGAAAGCATGTGTAACTGTGTCATAGAGTGATTACATCCAAGCATTACTGCCAGCTAAGATTGATAAATATGCCCAATAAGTATAATTGTTCTCTGTGGCAGCCCTTGTTGAAGGAATCCTCACAGCAGTGGTGATCATCGCTGTCATAGCTACCATTAAATGACTCATTGTGACTGGCTGTCCCGCTTTCCTCAGGTTTTCTTCCGCCATCTGTGACAGCTTCTGGTTCTGTCCCCAGATGGGTGGCTGTGTTTGACGGGTTTTGCTTATGACAGTTGGGGTCCTCCTCAGCGTCAGTCTCCACATGGCTGCAACTGAGGGGTCCTTGGGATCTTCCCGGAATCTGACTTATGATAAGATTTCAGGTGTCTTGATGGTATCCAAATTGGCTGTTGATTTTGGCCTGGAGAAACACAAGCATAACTTCTACCCCAAGTTATTATTTTACCTATTTCCCAACTTTTTGTTATCGGATCTCTCCACCAAATCAGTTGTTCTGCTTCTGTCTTTGCAGCTAGTTTGTGCAGATGCTGTTCAGCTGCTGATAACATCTGACATTTGGGCAGGCTCAAAAAATTTAAAGTTAATAATGATAGATTCAGTTGCATCTATGGGGTTCCATATTCTCTATTTACACCTTTCTGCTTTTGCAACTGCTTTTTAGGGAAAGAGTCATTCATTCCACTATGGCTTGTCCTTGAGAATTGTATGGGATACCAGCAATGTGTTTAATATTCCACATAGAGAAAAATGTAGCTGGAGCTTGGCCAGTATAGCCTGGGACATTATCTGTTTTAATAGAAGCTGGAATGCCCATCACTGCAAAACACTGCAAAAGGTGACATTTAACACAGGCAGAAGACTCTCCTGATTGGCATGTGGCCCAGACAAAGTGAGAAAAGGTGTCCACACATACATGTACGTAAGCTAGTCTCCCAGACGAGGGAACATGGGTGACATCCATTTGCCAAAGAGAGTTAGGTTCCAATCCTCGAGGATTAACGCCTGTAAAAGATGAGGAATGTACCATTTGGCAAGTTGGGCATCACTGGATAATAGCTTTAGCTTCTTTCCAGGTAATGCTGTATCTGCGTTTGAGACCAGAAGCATTAACATGGGTTAAATTGTGAAAGTGTCTAGCATTAGATATTGCAGTAGCATCTAGGCGATCAGCCATTTGATTCCCTTCAGTCAAAGGTCCTGGAAGAGGTGTATGAGCCCTAATGTGAGTGATACAAAAAGGGTACATTCTACTTGTAACTGCTGTTTGCATTGGGTAAATAAAGTCATCAGTTGTTCATCTGTATGAAATCGTAACTGAGCATTTTCAATTAACTGTGTGGAATGAACCACGTATGAAGAATCAGAAATCACATTAATAGGCATATCAAAAGCAGTCAACACCTCAATTACAGCTACAAGCTCTGCTTTTTGAGCTGAAGTATAGGGTGTCTGGAAAACCTTACCTTTTGATCCAGAATAAGAAGCTTTACCATTACTAGACCCATCTGTAAAACAATGAAAATGCTTAACAGGCTGCAGGTTGTTTACTGCAGGAACTGTAAATGTAAACCATTTAGAGTCCTGCTCAGCTAAAGGGATAGTAAAGAAACAGTCTTTTAAATCTATGACTATTAAAGGCCAATTTTTTGGAGTTATAGCAGGAGAAGGCAATTCTGGCTGTAATGCCCCCATAGGTTGTATAACTGAATTGATGGGTCTTAAAACATTCTCCATTTACCTGATTTTTTCTTTCTTTTTTTTTTTTTTTTTTTTTGAGACGGAGTCTCGCACTGTCACCCAGGCTGGAGTGCAGTGGTGGGATCTCGGCTCACTGCAAGCTCCGCCTTCCGGGTTCACGCCATTCTCCCGCCTCAGCCTCCCGAGTAGCTGGGACTACAGGCACCTGCCACCACGCCTGGCTAATTTTTTTATTTTTAGCTCCCTAGTAGCTGGGACTACAGGCGCCTGCCACCACGCCCGGCTAATTTTTTTATTTTTAGTACAGATGGGCTTTCACCATGGTGGTCAGGCTGGTTTTGAACTCCTGACCTCAGGTGATCCACCTGCCTCAGCCTCCCAAAATGCTGGGATTACAGGTGTGAGCCACTGCACCTGGTGTTTTTTTTTTTTTTTTTTTTAAGGGACAGGGTCTTGTTCTGTTGCCCAGGCTGGACTTCAGTGGCCCAATCATGGCTCACTGCAGCCTCAGCCTCCTGGACTCACGCAGTCCTTTCCTCAGCCTCCTGAGCAGCTGGGATCACAGGTGTGCACCACCATGCCTGGCTAATTTTTTTTTTTTTTAAATTTTGTTGGGGCTGAGTCTCTCTACGTTGCCTAGGCTGGTCTTGAACTTCTGGGCTCATTCATTCCACCTCAACCTCCCACAATGTTAGGATTTCAGGCGTGACGCACTGCATGCAGTCCAAGTAATTTCCTTCTTTCTTTCTTTCTTTGTTTTGAGACAGAATCTCACTGTGTTTCCCAGGATGGAGTGCAGTGTATGATCTCGGCTCACTGCAACTTCCACCTCCCGGGTTCAAGTGATTCTCCTGCCTCAGCCTCCCCAGTAGCTGGAATTATAGGTGCCTGCCACCATGCCCAGCTAATTTTTATATTTTTAGTAGAGATGGGGCTTCACCATGTTGGCCAGGCTGGTCTCAAACTCCTGACCTCAAGTGATCCACCTGCCTTGGCTTCCCAAAGTGTTGGGATTACAGGCGTGAGCCGCTGCACTCAGCCCCAAGTAATTTCTTGATGACATGAATTGGGTCATGTTATAATCTAGTGAGGGCCTGGAGGATCCTTGTGGAATATGGAACGTTTCCCCTCACTGTAAATATCCGGAGACTTTTCTGGGCTAAGGGTTTGAATGGTGATGACAGTTAAGAAAGGAGGTTTACTATGTCTTTGTCTTCATTTGGGATCTATTCTGTACTATCTTTTCTTCTTTTTCTTTACTGGGAATAGCTCATGTCCTAGTAAAACTGTGGTTCCCTTGAATGCTTGAAGTTTCTGACTTGGAGGCTTATTTGGGAAATTGACAAAAGAAATTCTAGAACTATTTTACTTTTTGTGGGCACAAGGCACTTTTTGATGAGACAGAGATTATAGATGTTCTCGCTTACTTGGTAGCGTCCTGCTGGCCTTAAATAAGAGGTAGCATTCATCACGCTTGCCAGGAGATTCTCGCTGCGGTCATAGCCCCTGCTTTTATGTTTGTCTTCCAGGAATGCTCATCAAATTTAACAGAGCTGTTCAGACTGTCCTGCTTCACCGGCGTGTTTGGAGGAGACGTCAGTCCTCCTTTTGATCAACTCTGCTCTGCTGGGACAACGACACACAGTGTCCCTGACTGGTTTCCCTTTCTGTGTGTGCAGTCGCCCCTTGCCAACACGCCCTTCCTTGGTTACTTCTACCATGGTGCCGTGTAAGTGTCTGAGCAGCCGCCTGGGATGGGGCATTGTTCTCCTGCCCTGGTGGGGCCATACTCTAGTAGGCCCTATAATGCGGTCACGTTTTTCCCAATCCCTCTCCAGAGATCCCGTGCCTAAAGGGTTCAATTATAGATTTCAGCTAGCTAATTTATTTTGCATTATTTGACAGAATTGGGCCTCATTGAAAAGAAATTGATTGACATTGAAAACAGCTCATGGTGCTTTTCTAGGGGAGGCGAAGGAGTGGTGGCTCATGGGGGATTTTAATGTTCTGTATTTTACAGTTTTGGATTGTTAAAAATTTACATCTATGATTTTTGTAATTAAAAAAGTAGGTGGGGCGTGGTGGCTCACACCTGTAATCCCAGCACTTTGGGAGGCCAAGGCAGGCAGATCATGAGGTCAGGAGATCAACACCATCCTGGCTAACATGGTGAAACCCCGTCTCTACTAAAAATACAAAAAATTAGCCAGGCATGGTGGCAGGCGCCTGTAGTCCCAGCTACTAGGGAGGCTGAGGCAGGAGGATGGTATGAAACCGGGAGGTGGAGCTTGCAGTGACTCGAGATCGCGCCATTGCACTCCAGCTTGGGCGACAGAGTGAGACTGTCTCAAAACAAAATAAAACAAAACAAAAGTAAAGAGGCTGGGTGCAGTGGGTCACGTCTGTAATCCCAGTACTTTGGGAGGCTGAGGCAGGCAGATCACCTGAGGTTGGGAGTTCAAGACGAGCCTGGGTACATGGTGAAACCCCACCTCTACTAAAAATACAAAAAATTAGCCGGGTGTGGTGGTGGGCACCTGTAATCCCAGCCTACTTGGGAGACTGAGGTATGAGAATTACTTGAACCTGGGAGGCGGAGGTAGCAGTGAACAAAGATCGCGCCACTGCATTCCAGTGTGGGTGACAGAGTGAGATCCGTCTCAGAAAATAAGAGTAAAGAACAACATTAAGGAAGAATTGTGTTTTTGCAGATAACTGAAACTATTCAGCCTTTCTTATTGATTTTCAGTTCCCCCAAACAGGAATCTTCCTTTGAAGTATATGTGGATACTGACGCAAAAGACTTTGCAGACTTTGGTTACAAACAAGGAGATCCCATTATGACTGTAAAGAAGGCATATTTTACTATTCCGCAGGTAATCATTGCAATATGAGTACGCTAGACCCTTCTCTTTTTTTTTTTTTTTTTGAGACAGAGTCTCGCTCTTATCGCCCAGGCTAAAGTGCAGTGCCGGATCTCAGCTCACTGCAACCTCCGCCTCCCGGGTTCAAGTGATTGTCCTGCTTCAGCCTCCCGAGTAGCTGGGACTGCAGGCGTGTGCTACCATACCCAGCTGATTTTTTTGTATTTTTACTAGAGATGGAGTTTCACCATGTTGGCCCGGATGATCTCAATCTCTTGACCCTGTGACCCAAGCGCCTCGGTCTCCCAAAGTGCTGGGATTACAGGCGTGAGCCATTGCGCCTGGCTGCTAGACCCTTTATTTTTCCTGTCCTATTGTTAATTTAAGTTATATTTCTCTTTAAAATCTCTTTTTAAGTTACTTATTTCCCTCCTTTGTACCTTTCAGCGACTTAACTGTTTATGTTCTCCAGATTAATAAAATATATAGTCATTCTTAAATTAATCACAGTCTTTCTTAAAGCTCAGAGTGAACTTACAAAATAAAACCAAAAGATTTTCTATATGTTTCTATGGAAGTAGCTATCATTCTGTTTTTTTTTTTTTGAGAAAGAGTCTTACTCTGTTACCCAGGCTGGAGTGCAGTGACACAATCTCAGCTCACCACAACCTCCGCCTCCCGGGTTCAAGCAATTCTCCTGCCTCAGCCTCCCAAGTAGCTGGGATTACAGGCATGCACCACCACACCTGGCTAATTTTGTATTTTTAGTAGAGATGGAGTTTCTCCATGTTGGTCAGGCTGGTCTTGAACTCCCGACCTCAGGTGATCCGCCTGCCTCGGCCTCCCAAAGTGCTGGGATTGCAGGTGTGAGTCTTTTTTTTTTTTTTTTAATTAAAAAAATTTGTTTTGGTTTGAGACAGTCTTGCTCTATCACCTAGGGTGGAGTGTGCTGATGTGATCTTGACTCCCTGCAGCCCTGACCTCCCACATTCAAGTGATCCTACCTCAGCCTCCCAAGTAGCTGAGACTACAGGCACGCACCACCATTCCTGGCCAATTTTTTGTAGAGATGGGGTTTTGCCATGTTGCCCAGACTGGTCTCTTTAACTCCTGGGCTGAAGTGATCTGCCCACTTTGGTCTCCCAACGTGCTGGGATTACAGACTTGAGCCACCGCACCCAGCCAAAAATTTGTTTGTAGAGATGGGGGTTTCATTATGTTGCCCAGGCTGGTCTTAAACTCCTGGCCTCGAAATTCTTCTGCCTTGGCCAAAGTGTTGGGATTACAGTGTGAGCCTCCGTGCCTGGCTAGAAGTAACTATCATTCTTTACTTCTTTTTCTTTTTAAACTTTTATTTTTGGTTCAGGTCTACATGTGCAGGTTGTTTATATAGGTAAACTCATATCATAGGGTTTTGTTGTACAGATTATTTGTCACCCAGGTACTAAGCCAAGTACCCAATAGTTTTTTTCTGATCCTCTCCCTCCTGCCCCTCACTACCCTCAAGTAGGGTCCAGTATAGAAAACAATGGTTAGATAAATACATCATTTTATTTACCATTCTAGAATTTTGAAAAATATTTTAAGGTTTTATATGGAATCATTTATATATGTATGTATGAATGCATGAGTGAATCAATAACAGGGTCTTGCTTTGTCGCCCAGGCTACAGTGCAGTGGTGTAGTCACAGCTCACTGCAGCCTCCACCTCCTGGGCTCAAGCAATCCTCCCACCTTAGCCTCCCAAGTAGCTGGGACTATAGGCGCATGCCACTATGCCCAGTTAATTTTTTACTTTTTGTAGAGACAGAGTCTTGCTATGTTGCCCAGGTTGGTCTTGAACCCCTGAGCTCAAATGATTCTCCCACTACAGCCTTCCAAAGTGCTGGGATTACAGGTGTGAGCCACTGCTCCCAACCTGAAATCTTTTTTTACGTTCAACGTTATGAGGAGTATTATTTGTGGGAAGAAAGCATGGGAGGTAAAACAGTTTCTCTTTCTTATTCAGATGAATCCATTTTTATGGTATTAAACTCTGGTTGTGATGAGGGAGAGAACATGAAGTTAAATATAGTCATGTCTCTGCAAACTAAATAGAATAGGACAAGGGATTTTCTTTGTTTTTATTAGGTAATATTTACTGTGACTCCACAACCAGTGGCTTCCAGACCTTGATGGGCAAATCAGTTAGATGTTTTGCTAAAGCGGGTCAACTAGTCCGTGAACTTGCTGTTGCTGAAACCAAGCCAGCAATGGGAGCAGGCTGCAGAAAGAACAGTTTTAAGGGATGCTGATCTATTTTGTATGATTAGGAGAGAGGCCATAAATCTGTTGGCTTTGCCCTTCACCCTCAGATGTCCCTGACTGGGCAGTGTATGCAGAACGCCCCCGTGGCATTTCTTCACAATTTTGATGTTAAATGCGTTACTGATTTGGAAGTATACCAAGAACGAGATGGTATTATCAATGCGAAGATAAAGAATGTTGCCTTAGGAGGTATGTTACATTTCTTTGAGAAAAGAACGCAGACCCAAACATGAAGATAAAGTGCGATCTCATGAGAATATAAATCATTTCTACTGGTTCAACTTCAAATAATATTTTAACTGCCAATTATTTTCTTTGGAAAAAGTTTAGTTCCATAAGACAGCATATTGCATATTAATTATTTTGAAATTGAAGTACAATTCAAATAACATAAAATTAACCGTTTTGTTTGTTTGTTTTGAAACGGAGTCTCGCTCCATTGCGCAGGTTGGAGTGCAGTGGCGCGATCTCAGCTCACTGCACCCTCCGCCTCCTAAGTTCAAGCGATTCTCCTGCCTCAGCTTCCCAAGTAGCAGGGTCTACAGGCGCACGCCACCACGCCCAGCTAATTTTTTTGTTTTTAGTAGAGATGGGGTTTCACCATGTTGGCTAGGCTGGCCTTGAACTCCTGACCTCAGGTGATCCGCCCGCCTCGGCCTCCCAAAGTGCTGAGATTACAGGTGTGAGCGTCTGCGTTCTGCCAAAATTAACCATTTTAAAGTGTACAATTCATTGACCTTAGTACCTTCTACACTGTTGTGCCACCATCACCTCTCTCTAGTTCCAGAACATTTCATCCCCTCAGAAGGGCATCTGTCCCCATTTGCAGTCACTCCCTACCCCTCGTCCCTCAGCCCCTGGCAGCCACCAGTCATCCCTACCCCTCGTCCCTCAGCCCCTGGCAGCCACCAGTCACTCCCTACCCCTCGTCCCTCAGCCCCTGGCAGCCACCAGTCTGCTTCCTGTCTCCTTGGATTGCTTATTCTGGGTGTTCCCCAGAAACAGAAGCATACACTGTGTGGCCTTTTGTGTCTGGCTTCTTTCACTTAGCATGGTGTTCCATGGTTCATCTGTGTTGTAGCGCATGGCAGCGCTTCATTCCTCTTTATGGCTGAATCGTAGTCTGTCGCGTGGACAGAGCACATTGTATTTGTCCATTGTCCATTCATCAGCTGATGGACATATGGGTTGTTTTCATCTCTTGACTGTTGTGAATAGCGCTGCCATGAACACTCGTGGCCAAGTTTTTGCGTAGATGTATCTTTTTATTTCTTTTGGGTAGACACCTAGGAGTGGAACTGACAGGTCATGCTAATATGACTTCTTGAGGATCCACCAAATTGTGTTTTTTGTTTTTATTTTTGTTTTTTGAGACAGTGTCTCGCTCTGTCACCCAGGCTGGAGTGCAGTGGCATGATCTCGGCTCACTGCAACCTCTACCTCCCTGGTTCAAGCGATTCCCCTGCCTTAGCCTCCCAAGTAGCTGAGATTACAGGTGTGTGCCACCACACCTGGCTAATTTTTTTGTATTTTTAATAGTGATGAGGTTTCACCATGTTGGCCAGACTGGTCTCGAACTCCTGACCTCAGGCAGTCTACCCGCCTCAGCCTCCCAAAGTGCTGGGATTACAGGCGTGAGCCACCGTACCCGGCCAATTGTTTTCTACAGTGTCTGCACCATTTTGTATTGCCACCAGCAGTGAACTGCATATTTGTTTTTATGTCAGTGACCCTGGTTTTTGTTTGTTTGTTTGTTTGTTGTGGATTTTCCTCCTCAGTTATAATTAGACATTAAGAGGACGGGGACTCCTATCTGATGGTTTTTGGGGAGTGGGGAGAGTTTTGTAGTCACCACTCTGGGCAGTTGTGGTCACCATATTTGCTTGATCAACTATACTTTGACTTAGTGTGATCATGATAGGCCATGTGTACGCCTGTGGAAGTTATTTCATGTTCTCTCTTTAGGCACAGTTACACCAAAAGTAATCTATGAGGAAGCAACTGACCTAGACAAATTCATCACCAATAGAGGTATTTAATGTTACACTTTGACGTCATTTCTTCAGAAATAGATATGTCATTTCTTACAAGTAACATATAGCCCCAGAGTATGTATTTTTGTTAGTCATTTAAAAAGGTTCACAATCGTTAGAAAAATCTGCCAGGAGCATTTCATTTGTTCCTCGTTCTGTCTTGCTGGGCTTTAGAGTGCTCTCTGTGACGGTCAGCCTGCCCCTCCACGGTCCTGGATTCTCTGAGTTCCACCGTCCCTTCTAGTTCCAGCTTCCACGAAACTTTTCTTAAATGTTTGATAGTTAAAGAATTCTTTTTTTTTTTTTTTTTTTGAGATGGAGTTTCGTTCTTTTTGCCCAGGCTGGAGTGCGATGGCGTGATCTTGGCTCACTGCAACCTCCACCTTCTGGGTTCAAGCAATTCTCCTGCCTTAGCCTCCCAAGTAGCTGGGATTACAGGTGCCCGCCACCATATGCCCGGCTAATTTTTGTATTTTAGTAGAGACGGGGTTTCACCATGTTGGCCAGGCTGGTTTCAAACTCCTGACCTCAGGTGATCCACCTGCCTTGGTCTCCCAAAGTGCAGGGATTACAGGCGTGAGTCACCACGCCTGGCCCAGTTTGGCTAATTTTATCAGAACTTTAATTTTTAATGAAGGATACTATTTCTTTCTTTCTTTTCTTTTTTTTTTAAAATTTGAGACAGAGTCTTGTTCTGTCGCCCAGTGCAGTAGGGTGATCTCAGCTCACTGTAACCTCTGCCTCCTGGGTTCAAGTGATTCTCATGCCTTAGCCTCCTGAGTAGCTGGGATTACAGGCACCTGTCACCATGCATGGTTAATTTTTTGTATTTTTAGTAGAGAGGAGGTTTCACTCTGTTGGCCAGGCTGGTCTTGAACTCCTGACCTTGTGATCTGCCTGCCTCGGCCTCCCAAAGTGCTGTGATTACAGGCGTGAGCCACCATGCCTGGCCTAATTTTTGTATTTTTAGTAGAGATTGGGTTTCACCATGTTGGCCAGGCTGGTCTCAAACTCCTGACCTCAGGTGATCCACCCGCCTCGGCCCCCCCAAGTGCTGGGTGTCTCTTTCTGATGTGTTGTACTTCTCAAATTTATTCATTAGCTCATCAAATGTTAGTGGAGTTCCTACGCTGTAATAACGAACTAGACAGTGGGCCCCTGCCATGGCGGAACTGACCCTCTTGTCTTTCATCTCACAAACATTTTACCAAGTGTGTGCTCCATGGCAAGCTATGAGCCAGGTGCTGGGGATATAGAAATGAAAGGAACAGATCTCATTCTGGGTACCATGACGGCATAGGGGAGGCAGCTAATGCTGACTTGATGGGACCAGGGCAGGCTTCCTCAAGGAAGCAGTGACCGTGCCATGTTAGGGAGCTGGAGATAGGGAGGGCAGGGGCAGGGCATTCGGGAAAGGCCACGCAAGCAGAGAGAACGTCCCAGTAATAGAGTCAGGCTCAAAGACGGTCTTTAATTTATGAACATATTCTTGTATTTGCAGAAACTCCTTTAAATAACAGATCAGCCCCCAGAATCGTGAATGTGGAAGAACATTATATTTTCAAATGGAATAATAATACCATCAGTGATATCAATGTCAGAATTATTAGGGCAGAGATTAATGCCCACCAGAAAGGTAACTTTAATGAGGGTAGCAAACATGCTTTCACTGAAAGTATTTTTTTTTCTCTCTTCAAGATTCTCATAATTATAACCCATAAAATTAAGTTAGACTTGTTTCTTATGTGCATTTATGATTTAATCAACGAGAGTATACTTTGAATGTCAAAATGCAATTTTAAGATAAAGCACTATGGAGAATAATTTCTTTTCCCAGTGAAATGGTGCACATTATATTTTTATTTTGTTTTATTTCTAGGGATAATGACACAGAGATTTGTAGTAAAATTTTTAAGCTATAATAGTGGTAATGAAGAAGAATTATCTGGAAATCCAGGTAAGATGAGTGTATACCAGTCATTGATCTTACAAACGTACTTTAGTTCAACACTCCCAGCCATCAGGATGGTTATAAGTAACTCTCTCCAATTTTAGTTTCTGACTCTGACCTTTTTCTTTATTCTCTCTCTCTTTTTTTTTTGTGGAGACAGAGTCTTGCTCTGTTGTCCAGGTTGAAGTGCAGTGGCGCAATCTCGGCTCACTGCAATCTCCACCTCCTGGGTTCAAGAGATTTTCTTGCCTCGGCCTCCTGAGTAGCTGGGATTACAGGTACACACCACCATGCCTGGCAAATTTTTTTTTTAAATCACACAACACAGCAAGCTTTATTCATCTGCTACTTCTCCAAAGGGAGGTTTGTAGGGTTGCTCACTTTAATATAATTTTTACATTTTTAGTAGAGACAGGATTTCACCGTGTTGGCCAGGCTGGTCTTGAACTCCTGACCTCAAGTGATCTGCCCATCTCGGCCTCCCAAAGTGCAGAGATTACAGGCTTGAGCCACTGCGTCCAGCCAAGATGCACTTATTATGTATACACAAGCATTCCAAAATCTGAAAAAATCCCAAACACTTCTGGTCTCAAGCATTTCGGATAAGAAATGCTCAACACCTGTATGATACAGTTAAGACAAATATGGCTAAATATTAACAGCTGTTGATTTTGGTGTGGCTGTATTGGTGTTCATGGTATTACTTTCAACTTTTCTGTACATGTGAACATTTTCATAGTAAAATATTGGAAGCAGTAAGTTGGATTAGTACGAGATGGATGGGAATATGATCTAACAACAGACCTTGGGGTTGAATGGATTTACTAGAAAAAGGTTCTATTGAAAGGTTATGGCCCGGTGCGGTGGCTCATACCTGTAGTCTAAGCACTTTGGGAGGCTGAAGCAGGTGGATCACTTGAGGTCAGGAGTTGGAAACTAGCCTGGCCAACATGGTGAAACTCTATCTCTACTAAAAATGCAAAAAAATTAGCTGGGCATGGTGGTGGGCGCCTGTAATCCCACCTACTTGGGAGGCTGAGGCAGGAGAATAGCTTGAACCTGGGAGGTGGAGTTTGCAGTGAGCTGAGATCACACCACTGAACTCCAGCCTGGTCAACAGAGTGATACACTGTCTCAAAAAAAAAAAAAAAAGAAAGATTCCTTTGGTTTACATGTCTTCTATGAGCCCCTGTGATAAGCAGTATTGTCATTCAGCAAGTGATCCGTGACTGGCTTGATCAGAACCTTCAGTGTCTCTTGCATGAGAGGTCCAAGACTGACTCATGCCTGCAATTTACTTTTCAGGTTTTATTGTTAAAATGTATTTTTTAAATTGAATGAATGTCCTTGTCTGTTAAAAAAAAAAAAAAAAAAAGCACCCGGGCACGGTGGCTCACATCCGTAATCCGAGCTCTTTGGGAGGCTGAGGTGGGCGGATCACCTGAGGTCAGGAGTTCAAAACCAGCCTGGCCGACATGCTGAAACTCCGTCTCTACAAAAATACAAAAATTAGCTGGGCATGATGGTGGGTGCCCAGCTACTTGGAAGGCTGAGGCGGGAGAATCGCTTGAACCCAGGAGGTGAAGGTTGCAGTGAGCCGAGAGTATGCCGTTGCACTCCAGCCTGGGCGGCAGAGCCAGACTCTGTCTCAAAACAAAACAAAACCAAAAACAATGAATGAAGGTGTGCCATCTTTCTCCCAAAGGTATTTTTGAAAGCTTCGCCTATGTATTTTCTTTCCTTGTGCATGTCTCTTGTGTTATTTGCTGAGTTAGGCTTGCTGTGCTGAAGTATAGGAGGAAACAGGCTCACGCTCCTTTGTTATGTTTGTCTAGGTTACCAACTTGGCAAGCCTGTCCGAGCTCTAAATACCAACAGGATGAATAATGTCACGACTTTATATCTTTGGCAGTCGGGTAATCCGGTTTGGTCATCATCATTAGCTCTTTGGCAAACTGATGTTAGAAGTATTACCATATTTTGAATCTAATCAAGCAATCAATTATTTTAAAGCCCGGTTGGTTTATTTAGCAGAGAGGTACATGCTGCTGAGTAACAGTGGTGGTGGTTTTTCATGCTTCTACAGCTTTGTTTTTTTTTCTTTTTTTTTTTTTTTTTTTGAGACTGAGTCTTGCTCTGTCCTCCAGGCTGGAGTGCAGTGGCGCGATCTCGGCTCACCGCAAGCTCCGCCTCCCAGGTTCACGCCATTCTCCTGCCTCAGCCTCCCGAGTAGCTGGGACTACAGGCACCCGCCACCATGCCTGGCTAATGTTTTGTATTTTTAGTAGAGACGGGGTTTCACCGTGTTAGCCAGGATGGTCTCGATCTCCTGACCTCGTGATCTGCCTGCATTAGCCTTCCAAAGTGCTGGGATTACAGGCGTGAGCCACCGTGCCCGGCCGCTTCTACAGCTAACATTGTTTGCACCTGAAGTGCTGGTTGCTAGTAAAAGAGATTGAAATATGAGATTGGCTTGAGAGTCCCGTGTTATTGTTGCCTGTAGCCCAGGATGGTGCTAATTAGAGACATGAAAATAACTTCATTCTGAACTGCAGGAAATCTGTGCCTCAGCGGTAATGACCCACATCTGCCAGGGGCAGTGTCACATTCTGAAGAAACCACCGCTCAGGGTCTGGGAATTCTGATACAGAAAGGCACCTTCGTTCAGCTTTGAAAGGATTAGACTAACAGTGATCTCAGTTTTTGAAAACTATAAACTTTATTTCTACTTACTGTTTTCTGTTTTTCACGAAAAACTTTGAAGTTAATCTTTACTTTTATTTAGCAAAAAGTAGCAAGAGGATAATCTTTTTCTTTTATAGCTGGAAGGGGTTTGTGTACATCAGCAACTTTCAAACCCATTTTATTTGGAGAAGATGTCCTCTCTGGATGCCTGTTAGAGGTCGGGATTAATGAAAATTGTACTCAGCTCAGGTGAGTGTTTCACTGATGAATTTATCGGCAATGTGAATGGTTTGCCTAAAATTAATTCACTACATGAATATCACAGACAACATGAATATGAAAAATTAGAGTCCATTAAAATGTGTAAAAGTGATAATAAATACAGATGTGATACAATTTAGAGTTGATTCAAACATCAATATGAGGGAAAATTGACCTTTTTCTTGGGACTAAAGCCAGTTCATCCACGTTTAAGCAAATTTCATCCACATTTAAGCAGATTTCTCTGCCAAAGTTTGTTCAGCTCATTGGAACCTTTTTCATTGTTGTGTGGGTTTTTCTGTTGAGATGCCAAGTCTCACTTTGTCACCTAGGCTGGAGTGCAGTGGTGTGATCTCGGCTCATTCAATTTCTGCCTCCCCAGTTCAAGCAATTCTCCTGCCTTAGCCTCCCTAGCAGCTGGGATTACAGACATGCACCACCACACCTGGCTGATTTTTTTTGGTATTTTTAGTAGAGACGGGGTTTCACCATGTTGATCTCAAACTCCTAACCTCAAGTGACCTTGCCCACCTTGGCCTCCCAGAGTGCTGGGATTACAGGTGTGGGCCACGGTACCTGGCCTCATTGGAACCTTCTACTCCTAGAGCTATGAAAAAGGCCAGAGCAAAATATAATTGGGGTGATTAACTTTTTTTTTTTCTTTTGAGACAGTGTCTCACTGTGTTGCCCAGGCTGGGGTGCAGTGGTGCAATCATGGCTTACTGCAGCCCCAACCTCCCTAGGCTCAGGTGGTCCTCCACCTGTCTTAGCCTCCTAAAGTGCTGGGATTACAGGTGTGAACCACTCTGCCGGCCTATATTCTGTTTGTTGTTGTTATTGTTTGTTTGTTTTTTGAGACAGAGTTTAACTCTTGTTGCCCAGGCTGGAGTGCAATGGCATAATCTCGGCTCACTGCAGCCTCCACCTCCCAGGTTCAAGTGATTCTCCTGCCTCAGCCTCTCGAGTAGCTGGGATTACAGGCATGCACCACCTCGCCTGGCTAATTTTGTATTTTTAGTGGAGACGGGGTTTCTCCATGTTGGTCGGGCTGGTCTCAAACTCCCGACCTCAGGTGATCTGCCTGCCTCAGCCTCCTAAAGTGCTGGGGTTATAGGTGTGAGCCAGTGCGCCCAGCCTCATTTTTAAAAATTTTTTATTTTTGACAGTAGCCATACTGATAGATACTAAGTGATATCTCATTGTGGTTTTGATTGCATGCATTCTTTCTGGCTTGTTTTTTGAGACACGGTCTCACTCCATACCCAGACTGGAGTGCAGTGGTGTGATCACAGCCCATTGCAGCCTCACCCTCTGTAGCTCAGGTGATTCTCCCACTTCAGCCTCCTGAGTATCTTGGAGTACAGGTGTGTGCTGCAATGCCTGGCTGATTTTTCATGTTTTTTGTGGAGATGGGGTTTCACCATGTTGCTCAGGCTGGTCTCAAACTCCTGGGCTCAAATGATCCTCCTGCCTTGGCCTCCCAAAGTGCTGGGGTGACAAGCGTGAGCCGTTATGACCAGCCTGCGTGCATTCTTACACACGTTTTATCTGTTACATATCCCAAGATGTGTAGTTCTTTGGGAAGCAGGAAGAAAATGGGGGAGACATTGAGAAGTTAAGGAAAACTGGTAGAAATTATTAGCAGCAGCTCCTGATTATGGGTTGTGAGGCCTGAGTCCATGGGCAGAGTCCCTCTCCTGCAGTTCATGAGATTTGTACCCTCCAGTGATAGTACTGGGAAGGAGGGATGCTATGTTCCAACTCTTAGTCTTCATTTAATTTTATGACTCAAAATTCCAGCTAGATATTTAGGTTACTTTTACTGTTGGATCACTCTGGCCTACAAATTTATCCTGGTAACTTGATGTGTGCTCTAACTACCTCCTAAGTTTGGTGACAGTCGGCAGTCTGTGAACCACGTGATTCCTAACTTAAGTTGCTAACATTTTTTTTTTTTTTGAGACAAGGTCTTGCTCTGTCACCTAGGCTGGAGTGCAGTGGTACAATCTCAGCTCACTGTAGCCTTTACCCCACAAGGCTTATGCGCTTCTGCCACTTCAGCCTCCCGAGTAGTTGGAACTATAGGTGCACGCCACCATGCCTGGCTAATTTTTGTATTTTTTGTAGAGGCAGGGTTTCACCCTGTTGCCCAGGCTGGTCTTGAACTTCTGAGCTCCAGCAATCCTCCCACCTCAGCCTCCCAACGGGTTGGGATTACAGGTGTGAGCCACTGCACTCAGCTAAGTTACTAACATTTTAAGTCTAAAGTAGAAGATTGCTTCTGTATGTCCTCCCCCAGCTGTGTAGGTCCATCCTGGGAAGGCCATCAAACACACCTAGTCCATGGGTGACATCCAGCCAGTTTTTAATGCCAGTTCCTCTGGCAGTTTTTTATTTAGGCACTCGGAAGTGAAACCCGGACATTCACTGGAAAGGACTTTAGGACAAGACCTGCTGGCCATGAGCTAAGAATGCCTTACTCTTTTGCAGGGAGAATGCTGTTGAAAGACTTGATTCATTAATACAAGCGACTCACGTTGCAATGAGAGGCAACTCTGATTACACTGATCTTAGTGATGGCTGGCTCGAAATAATACGTAAGTCAAACCCAGGTATAATAAAGCCTGTAACTTGGTTGCTATGACTACCAACTGTAGTCTCAGCATTAGAGCCCAACCCAGTAGGTCACCTTCCTGAGGCTTAACTGTGGCTTAACTGGACGTCTGCCCAGGGGTTAGCTCTCCAGTCAGGAAACTTGGCGTATCTTTTTCTTCTTATTCATGATGACTTTTTTTTTTGTTTTTTTTTGAGGCATTCTGTCACCCAGGCTGGAGTGCAGTGGTACAATCATAGCTTATTGCAGCCTCATCCTCTCAGGCTCAAGGGATCCTCCCACCTGAGCCTCCCAAGTAGCTGGCACCACAGGTGTGCACCACCACATCTGGCTAATTTTTTGTATTATTTGTAGAGATGGGTTTTGCCATCTTGCCCAGGCTGGTTATTAACTCCTGGGCTTAAGTGATCTGCCCACCCCAACCTCTCAAAGTGTTGGGATTACAGCATGAGCCACTGCGCCTGGCCAACAACAGTCTTTGTAAAAGAAAGTCTAGGCTGGGAGCAGTGGCTCACGCCTATAATCCCAGCGCTTTGGGAGGCCAATGCAAGAGGATTGCTTGAGGCCAGGAGTTTTTTTTTTTTTTTTCTTTTTTTGAGATGGAGTCTTGTTCTTGTCACCCAGGCTGGAGTGCAATGGCACAGTGTCGACTCACTGCAACCTCTGCCTCCTGGGTTCAGGAGATTCTCCTGCCTCAGCCTCCCAAGTAGCTGGGATTATAGGCGCCCGCCACCACGCCTGGCTAATTTTTGATTTTTTTAATAGAGACGGGGTTTCACCATGTTGGCCAGGCTGGTCTTGAACTCCTGACTTCGTGATTCACCTGCCTCGGCCTCCCAAAGTGCTGGGATTACAGGCGTGAGCCACCGCACCTGGCTGAGGCCAGGAGTTTAAGACCAGCCTGGGCAACATAGTGAGACCTTGTGTCTACGAAAAAATTTTTTAATTTAGTTGGGTGTGGCGGCATGTCCCTACAGTCCCTGCTACTTGGGATGCCGAGGAAAGAGGATCGCTTGAGCCTAGGAGTTTGAGGCTACAGTGAACTCTGATTACACCACTGCACTCCAATCTGGATGACAGAGCAGGATCCTGACTCTAAAAATAAAACAAAACAAAACAAAATACATTAAAACAAAGTCCAAGCCAGGTTTTAAGATTTTTAGTACACTTCAGTTTGAACTGCTGTTTTTGATTGCCAGGAATACAGGCATTTGAGAATTGACTTTGTAATTTATAAAGCTAATTTTGTTAACTTAAAAGAAAATAAAGTGATTGAAAATATTGTGATAGAAGCCAGACACAAAAGACCACATATTGTATGACTCAATTTATATGCAATGTCCAGAATGGGCAATGTATAGAGACAGCAGATGAGTGGATGCTGGAGGTGGAGGAGTTGGGAGGAAATGGGGAGAGACGGCTGTGGGTAAAGGCTTTCTTCGCAGAGTGATGAAATGTTCTAAAATAGAATTTGCTGAGTGTTACACAGCTTTGTGATTATACCAGAAACCATTGAATTGCACACTTTAAGTGGGTGGATTGTATAGTATGTGAATTATATCTCACTAAAGTGGTCAAGAAAGAAAGTAATTCAGGTGCCACAGATCTAATAATAGCAGCGATCATGGGGGCGAGATAAAAAGACTTGACAGCCCAGTGCCTTTGGCCAAAGGTATTTGCAGTGTTGAACTGGCAAGTAGATCGTACACAAAGGGAAGAAGATAAACCACACGTACATGGAATAAAGGTAAACCCGACATTAAAGCTTCTTCACCAGGCCCGATTTCACCTCCGAATCCAAAATGTCTTTAGAGTCATGGAGATCCAGCTCATCGGGTTATGTTGGAGAGGCCTAAGGTCCCAGTGAGTTTTGGCAGAGCTTGAATGAAAACCTGGAGTTCCAACCTCTTTCCTCTGTTCCCTGGTAGCAAGTTAGGTAACGTCTTCCCAGTTTCTTGGGGAGTCTTGAGTGTGTAAATACTTTGAACAGAAAGCTTTTTTAATTGAGCTAATTAATGGAATTGCCTTTTGGGACCAGAAAGTGCCCAATGAGTGTGCGCATCTGCTTTGCCCCTGCCCTGCTCTCCCTGCAGATGCTGCTGTGCCCCCTCTCCTCTGCCTGGGGGGTGGGGATCAGCCCTCTGGATCCTGCCCTCGCCCTTTCCATCCCCTCTGAGGTCAGCTAGGCTCAGTGGGCTGGAATTCACACAAGGGCCCATACGGACACATATCTGTATTGTGCCCACTCCTTGTGATTGGGGTCACGGTGATGAGGACCCTCCCTTCCCCCTCTGTGGTCGTGGATCATGTGATATGTCTGTGAGCTCAAGGTGCCCCAGACCACTCTCTGACTTGGGGAGGGAGTCCTGTTGGACCCCCATCCCAACGGGGCACTCAGGCTGCTGTTTGCTCATCCAGCTGGTGCTCAAGGCACTGGGCCCAGACCTAGATCCTCATTTGCAAACGGAACCCAGAGGTCGAGCTTGTTAAGCCCTGGACTCTGCCACCCAGGCCAGCTAGATAGGCTGTGGAATGACCCTGAGGGCTGCAGAAAAGTCAGCACTTGGGAAAGAAACCATAGGGAAAATGTCCAGACAGAGAACCCAGGTTGATGAGGTACGAAATCAGTGTGGTGATGACATTTTGTTGCCTTCAAGGTGGAAGGAATTAGCTTTTATTTCATGTCTGAGCCAAAAAGCAACCTTGGTCCAGGTTAATAAGCAGAAGAGAAGTGGTGTTGACACATGTATAAGGAAATTAGACATAAAACAGTGTTACTGACCTTCGGAATCCCTGAAGGAGCAAAGAACCCCCTTCAGAGGAGCCATAGAACCTACCCCACTTCCTCTCATTGCCCTTGCTAGGTTTTCTCCAAGATGAATGAAAATTAATTTCTCATTCAATTTCATTCTCTTCCAATTGTATTAATACGATAGTAACATTAGGAAATTACTTACTTTAATACATACGAATTAAAGTTGTCAGTATGGATTTTGTTTTATTATTATTATTTTTCAATTATTACCTTTTTTTTTTTTTTTTTTTTATGGAGTCTCACTCTGTCGCCCAGGCTGGAGTGCGTGGCACGATCTTGGCTCACTGCAACCTCCACCTCTTGGGTTCCAGTGATTCTCCTGCCTCAGCCTCCCAAGTAGCTGGGATTACAGGCCCCACCATCACACCTAGCCAATTTTGTATTTTTAGTAGAGATGGGGTTTCACCATGTTGGCCAGGCTGGTCTTGAACTCCTGACCTCAGGTCATCCACCCACCTCGGCCTCCCAAAGTGTTGGGATTACAGGCGTGAGCCACCATGCCTGGCTGATTTTTATTTTTATTTTTTGAGATGAGGTTCTCACTCTGTCGTCCAGGCTGGAGTGTAGTGGCGCCATGCCATCGTGGCTCACTGCAGCCTCGACTTCCCAGGCTGATGCAATCCTCTCACCTCAGCCTCCTGGGTAGCTGGGACTACAGGTGTGTGCCACCATGCCTGGCTATTTTTTTTTCTCTAAGAGACAGAGTTTTGCCATGTTGCCCAGGCTGGTCTGAAACTCCTGGGTTCAAGCAGGTGCTTCTACCTCAACCTCCCAAAGTGCTAGGATTATAGGCATGAGCCACTGTGTCTGGCCTAAAGTTGTTAGTATGGATTTTAAATGTCTTACAGAGCTTCCACTAGAACTGTGACTGCATGGAATAACGATGGCATTTTACTGCAATTATATACGTTTCTGTTAAAAGGCTGGGTAGATTTCAGTGAGAGCTTGGAAACTGAATCATGACTTACGGCTTTAATATGTGGGTCAGGGCTTTTAAGTTCCAGTGACTGGCTAACATAGGAAACTTTTTTCTTCTTTTTTTTGAGATGGAGTCTCACTCTGTCGCCAGGCTGCAGTGCAGTGGCACAATCTTGACTCACTGCAACCTCTACCTCCTGGGTTCAAGCAATTCTCCTGCCTCAACCTCCCAAGTACCTGGAACTACAAGCGAGCACCACCACGCCCAGCTAATTTTTGTACTTTTAGTAGAGACAGGGTTTCACCATGTTGGCCAGAATGGTCTCAATCTCTTGACATCATGATCTGCCCGCCTCAGCCTCCCAAAGTGCTGGGATTACAGGCATGAGCCACTGCACCCGGCCCATACAAGGAAACATTTTAAACACAATTTTTATTAGTGCCATCCTATGCCTTGTAGACTTTAAGGGATAACACAGTTATGGAGTGACAAGTAACTAGAGCCTGTAAGAGACTAAAGCCTCACTGATGTGATGCCTGCCTGATATTATTCCCCATTTTGGTTATTATGACATTGTAGGAAAACTTATCAAATTATATCTTTGAGAAGTGCCTAACTTAACATTTCTATAGGTGTAGATGCCCCTGACCCAGGTGCAGACCCACCGGCTAGCAGTTTGAACGGCATCTGCCTGGACGTTCCTGCTCGGCTGAGCATCCGCATTCTCATCTCGGATGCTGGTGCAGTGGAAGGGATTACTCAGCAGGAGATACTTGGCGTAGAGACAAGGTATGATCACATCTTGGATCACTGTAGTTTAGAGAGAGTCAGGAAAGTTGAGAGTGTTCTGAACAATAGGGAAACGTTTGTTTAGAAACTGATTATTTATTTATAACTTGCAATTATTAGCAAGATGTTTATATGGACATATGGAATATGTATGAACTATGTGTATAATGGAGACTTATTCTCACAAGTATTTATAAAGCCATGTGTAAGAGAGTCTGCAAGGTATTTTAGGGAGTACAAAGATGAATAAAGGGCTACTTATTGCTAAGTACATTTTGAAATCCATGAATGTAACTGATATGCTGGTCAGATAATATTGTCTGTGGTTAGAGACTTTGGCAGCAGATAGGTTCAAATCACGGCTGTCCCACTTAGGAGCTGTGCGGCACTGGCCAATTACTTAACCTTTCTGAGCTGTAGTTTCCTCCTCTGTAATATGGTGATAATACCTTTATGTAACAACCCTCTATCAGATTTTTTTTTTTTTTTTTTTTTGAGATGGAGTCTTGCTGTGTCTCCAGGATGGAGTGCAGTGGCACATACCTCTGGTCACTGCAACCTCCGACTCTGTGGTTCAAGTGATTCTCCTGCCTCAGCCTCCCGAGTAGCTGGGATTACAGGCATGCGCCACCACATCCAGCTAATTTTTGTATTTTTAGTAAAGACAGGGTTTCACCCTGTTGGCCAGGATGGTCTCAATCTCCTGACCTCGTGATCCACCCGCCTTGGCCTCCCAAAGTGCTGGTATTACAGGCGTGAGCCACCATGCCCAGCCTGCCTCCATCAGTTTTAAGTGACAGGTGCCCAGTTCATACTGACTTAAGCAAAAAGGGGAATTTATTGGTTCAAGTTCAGAGTAATCCACATACAGCTAGTTCATGGTTCCTGGTTCCAGTGTGGTCAGGGATCTTTTTGTTTTCGTGTCTCAGCTCCTCTTCCTTTGGGTTGGCTTCATTCTCAGGGAGGTTCTCCTCAAGAGATGGCAAAGATGGGCACTAGCAATCCAGGCTGATGTCACTGCAGCAAGTCCAGTGGGGAGAAAGCCTCTTTCCTCCTCTTTTCTTTTCTTTCTTTCTCTCTCTCTCTTTCTTTCTCTTTCTTTCTCTCTCCAAGGTATGATCACATCTTGGATCACTGTAGTTTCTTTCTTTCTTTCTTTCTTTCTTTCTTTCTTTCTTTCTTTCTTTCTTTCTTTTTCTCTCTTTCTCTCTCCCTCCCTCTCTCCCTTCCTTCCTTCCTTCCTTCCTTCCTTCCTTCCTTCCTTTCTTTTTCTTTCTTTCTCTCTCTCTTTCTCTCTCTCTCCATCTCTCTCTCTTTCTTTCTTTCTTTTTTTTTTTTTGAGACGAAGTTTAGTTCTTGTTGCCCAGGCTGGAGTGCAGTGGCGCCATGTCGGCTCTCGGCAACCTCTACCTCCTGGATTCAAGCTATTCTCTTGCCTCAGCCTCCTGAGTAGCTGGGGTTACAGGCATGCGGCACCATGCCCAGCTAATTTTGTATTTTTAGTAGAGATGGGGTTTCTCCATGTTGGTCAGGCTGGTCTTAAACTCCCGACCTCAGGTGATCTGCCCACCTCAGCCTCCCAAAGTGCTGGGATTCCAGGCATGAGCCACCAGGCCCGGCCCCTCCTCTTTCTCAAAATAGATCTGGGCAGACTTTCATTGGTTCAGTTTGGGTCATGTGCTCCTTTCTGAACCAATCCCTATGACTGGGGCAATGGGCAGCTCTTATTGGCTAGGCTCAGGTGATGGGTGCACTTCTGGATTAGGGCCAGTCCCTTCTGGTCCGCTGAACTGGGAATGGAGAGTGGTGACTCTGCAAGGGAAAATGGGAGTGCAGTTACCACCTTCGCAGTACTCTTTTGAGGATAACACGAGATGGTGTGTTGCAAGCAAGTTATCTCTGTGCCTCGAACGTGGAAAGCCCTCAATAAGTGGCTAGCTGCTGCTTTTATTATTATATCGTTTGAGAAAAACAGGTGATGAACAAAGGTACCTTTGATAGCACCTGTATAAAATGCACTGGCTGGAGAGGAGTGAGACTGACAGGACTGGCAGATGTCACCGGGCGACAGGCCCATGAGGGGTTATTAGGAGTTTCTCTTCTCCTTGGATCTGTCTGTCGAAATGGACAAAGACAATGGACAAATACAAAGAAAAAACAGCACAGGTAGAATGTGAAACTTCTTAAGAGAACCTCAGGTTGTATTGTGATTGCATCTGTTACCTGCTGTTCTTGGTGGAATAGAACTGAATGGTGGCTATGCTGACCATGTGATCTTTCCCTCCTAGGTTCTCCTCAGTGAACTGGCAGTACCAGTGTGGGCTTACCTGTGAGCACAAGGCCGACCTTCTCCCTATCAGTGCATCTGTCCAGTTTATTAAAATTCCTGCACAGTTACCCCGCCCCCTGACAAGGTACTCCAGTTGGTCACCTAGTTGACATTAGGAAGCAGAAAAATATATATTTGAAAATTGGAAGTTTATTCCTTTAATCAAGTTCTGATACTTTTCACTTGCACTTTTTGTAATCCTCTAAAATGTTTTCTAGATTCCAGATCAATTATACAGAGTATGACTGCAACAGAAATGAGGTGTGTTGGCCGCAGCTTCTATATCCATGGACTCAGTATTATCAAGGTAGGGTGAAACAGATTTCTATGACCAATTATGTTATGTCAATTTTAAAAACAATTTAAAATGATGTCTAAATGTTACAGAAAGCGTAAAACATATAGAAACTTTAAAAAATTTACAGATAATATTGCCACAGTGATCACCATTACTGTTGAGGCTTAGTTTATTTCTATCTACACTGTTTTTTTTTAGACAGAGTCTTTCTGTGTCACCCTGGCTGGAGTGCAGTGGCAGAATCTCAGCTCACTGCAACCATTGCCTCCTGGGTTCAGATGATTCTCATGCCTCAGCCTCTGGAGTAGCTGGGATTACAGCACCAACACACCGGGCTATTTTTGTATTTTTAGTAGAGACGGGGTTTCACCATGTTGGCCAGGCTGGTCTCGAACTAGCTTCAAGTGATCTGCCTTCCTTGGCCTCCCAAAGTGTTAGGATTGCAAGAGTGAGCCACCACGCCCAGCCTATACCTACACTGCTATCACAAGAGTTAAGAAATACTGCTGCTTAATTTTGTCCATTGTTTTTCAGGGGAGCCGCATTCTCAATGTGTTGCCAAGGGCTTACTGTTGCTGTTGTTCCTCACATTGGCCATGTTTCTCAGCAACCCCTGGACCAGAATATGCAAAGCCTATAGTTAGACAACCACCTGGCCTTTTTTTTTTTTTTTTTATTCGTTTATTTTTTTGAGCAACGGAGTCTCTCGCTCGTGCGCCCAGGCTGGCAGGCAACGTGGCCGGATCTTCAGCCTCACTGACAGCCTCCGCCTCCCGGGTTCACGCCATTCTCCGTCGCCTCCTCAGCTTCCGAGTAGCTGGGACTACAGGCGCCGCCACCTCGCCCGCGCTTAAGTTTTTTTTTTTATTCTTAATAGAATCGGGGTTTTCACCGTGTTAGTTTTTTTTTTTTATGTCTTTTTTTTTCTATGTCTATGTGTCGAGGTTTTTGTGATGTTTTATTTTTTGGTTTTTTGCTTGTTTTTTTTTGCCAGGATGCTCGTCTCCTGACCTCGTGATCCACCCGTCTCGGCCTCCCAAAGTGCTGGGATTACAGGCTTGAGCCACCGCGCCCGGCCTTTTTTGTGTTTTTGAGATGAGTTTTGCTCTTGTTGCCTAGGCTGGAGTGCAATGGCGTGATCTCAGGCTCACCGCAACCTCCTCCTCCTGGGTTCAAGCGATTCTCCTGCCTCAGCTCGGAGAGGGATTACAGGACGTACACCTATGCCTGGTAATTTGTATTTTTAGTAGAGACAGGGTTCCACCATATTGGCAGGCTGCGTCTCGAACTCCTGACCCCGTGATCCACCCATCTCAGCCTCGCAAAGTGCTGAGATTACTGGCATGAGCCACCGCACCCGCCTTTTTTGTTTTTTTTTTGAGACAGGGTCTCACTCTGTACCCAGGCTGGAGTGCAGTGCACAATCTCAGCTCACTGCAATCGTCTTGGCCCCCAAGCAATCTCCGCTACCTCAGCCTCCGGTGTAGCTGGGACCACAGATTCTCACCACGCGCTGGCCTATATTTTTGGTAAAGACGGGGTTTCGCGCTTGGGTCAGAGGCTGGTCTGTAACTCCTGAGCTCAAATGATCTGCCCACCTCGGCCTCCCAAAGTGCTGGGATCACAGATGTGAGCCACTGTGTCCGGTCCATCTGACTTCTCAAAGACTTTAGACCTTGACTTCAGTGATTTGTTGTAGTCTTGTATGCTTCTCTATAAAATTTTAATAAATGAAATGTCTTATTTTTGCAGAAAATGTTTATTAAGTGCCCTGTGACTTTAATTCATATATGTAGCTATCCGATGCAGAATGAATGTTCTCATCACTGGCCTGACTGAGTAAAATGCATGAGAAGAACTCAAGAAATGTTAGAAATTTTAGCTTATCACAAATTAGTTAAAGTCATAGGAGTTTTATTTATACCAGAGAGGAACAGTCTTTTCTTTAGTTTTTAATACATTCGTGTTGATTGATGTTTCCCATATTCCATAGAAAGGATTAAGAAATTCTTAAAAATGTATATAATACAAAAACACAAAATAATTGATGGGGAAAGATGTGGGCGCTGCAGGAGGAAAATAAGAGAAAAGTAAAACAAAACCAGGGGCACATGAAAGCGCCCAAAATATATGCCAAAGGTTGTATTTAGCAGAAGCATACCCCTAATTCATTATTTATTTATTTATTTTTTAGAGACAGGTTCTCCCTCTGTTGCCCAGTCTGGAGTGCAGTGGCATGATCACAGCTCACTGTAAACTCAAACACCTGGGTTCAAGCGAGTCTCCCCCAGGTAGCTGGGACTAGAGGTGTGTGTGCTACTACACCTGGCTAATTTTTTTTTTTTTTTTAGTAGAGACAGGGGTCTCGCTATGTTGCCTGGCCTGGTCTCAAACTCCTGGCTTTAGCAATCCTCCCACCTAAGCCTCCCAAAGTGCTGGGATTACCAGCAGGAGCCACCATGCCCAGCCAAGACCCCAGTTTACAAAAAACGAAGTATGATTAGCTATAGGAATTATGAAATCTATTCATTAAAAATTAACTGGTTATCAATGAAGGACAGTTTTTCCTAGCTGAGTCTAGGAATTTCTCCCATGGGCCGTCACATGGGGACAGTCAACCTTACTCAGTGGGAAGAATGGATTTTTTTTTTTTTTTTTGAGACATGGTCTTACTCTGTTACCCAGGCTAGAGAGCTGGAGAGCAGTGGCACAATTACGGCTCACTGCAGCCTCAACCTCCTGAGTTCAAGCGATCCTCCCACCTTAGCCTCCCAAGTAGCTGGGACCACAGGCTTGTACCTGGCTAGTTTTTTTTTTTTTTTTGTAGAGAAGGGGGTCTCCCTATGTTACTCTGTTACCCAGGCTGTTCTCGAACTCCTGGGCTCACATGATCTACCTGCCTCAGCCTCCCAAAGTGCTGGGATTATACATACGAGCTGCTGTGCCCAGCCCTGGAACAGGTGTTTTCAGCCACGGTCCTACAGTGGCCACATAGCACAATACCTGTAAGTTTTCTTGTGTGCCAGGTAATCTAGTTTCAGATGGATTTTGTATGTTATTTAAGCCTAATTTTGAAAAATGATTATTTTCCCTTTTATACTTTTTGATTGAATTCCTAGTGCCTGCTGATAACCCAGGACCACATAAAATGTGCTGTTTCATCTTCACTGCAGAGTTCCTGCCCAGGGGGAATTTCAAATTTTCCTCCAGTCTTAAGTCCATTTTCAAATAGGGGGATGAGCTAGTCATTGCAGAGGTCGTAAGTTTCTGCATGATGAATTTTAGCATCTGTACTGTGGTGGTGTTGGGCCTTCACCCCACCCCTCTAGGGCTGACTCAGAAATCTGGGTCAGTACTGGACTAATGGAGCTGGGGTCTGAGTCAATTATTGTCTGAACTTCAGCCGTTTGCATTCACCTTCACAGTTCTTACTGTATCTTTTGTTGTTGTTGTTGTTATTGTTTCTTTGAAAGAATAAAAGACAGAATGTCACTCTGTTGCCCAGGCTGGAGTCCAGGGGTGTGATCTCTGCTCCCTGCAAGCTCTACCACCCAGGTTCAAGTGATTCTCTTGCCTCAGCCTCCTGAGTAGCTGGGACTACAGGTGCCCACCACCATGCCTGACTAATTTTTGTTTTTTTTTTTTTTTTTTTTTTGAGACGGAGTCTCACTCTGTCGCCCAGGCTGGAGTGCAGGGGTGTGATCTCTGCTCCCTGTAACATTGAACTCCTGGCTCAAGTGGTCCTCTTGCCTCAGCCTCCCGAGTAACTGGGACCTCAGGCATGTGCCACCATGCTGGGCTAATTTTTTATATTTTTAGTAGAGACAGGGTTTCGCCATTTTGGCCAGGCTGGTCTCGAACTCCTGACCTCAAGTGATCCACCCACCTCGGCCTCCCAAAGTGCTGGGATTACAGGAGTGAGCCAGGGCGCCCAACCTGGTATAACTAGCTTTGGATTTCAGATATTTATGGAAAATAAATTTAAAACTTCCAAATGACAGGTAATTTAGCCTGATTTTGTGAGGACGCCTTTTGTACTTAAAATAGGGAAAAAACTCAGTTTCGCAGTAGAATGGGATCTGGGGTGTCTATGATTTTAACTTTTCTAAGTTTATATGTTTCTGTATGCATTCATGAACTATTTATTGAGTGGCTACTATGTGCTAGGGCTTGGAGATATCGCAGTGGCAGAAACATTGTCCCCACCTTGGTGGAGCTTCCAATCTAGCAGGGAAGACTGGCACTAACACACAGACAAGATAATTTCAGATGGTGGCAGGTGCAGTGAAGGAAACAGAACAAGGATGTGACTCTAAAGTAGAGGGGCCAGAGACAGTCTCAAGGGAGGGGATATGTGAGCAGAGACTCCTGCTTCCCAGTCGGTGTGGGGAACACACACTGGGTGCCGTGTGATTCCATCGACAGGACAAGCCTGGAGCTGGCAAATCTATCGAGACAAAATTGTCCTGTGGTGGCCAGGCCGGGCGGGAAGGGGAGACTGCAACTGAGCAGGAGTCGTCTTGCGAGGTCAGTGGGAAACGTTTGAAAATTGGATTGGGATGCTGGCTGCACACTCCAACTTCACGAAGAAGCCCAGGATCCGGCCGGGCGGCGGCTCACACCTGTAACCCAGCGCTTTGGGAGGCCGAGGCGAGAGGATCGCTTGAGTTCAGGAGTTCGAGACCAGCTTGGCCAACATGATGAAACCCCTTCTCTATAAATATTTTTTAAAAAAATTAGCCGGGTGTGATTGTCGCGCGTCTGTAATCCCAGCTCCTCCAGAGGCTGAGGTGGGAGGATCGCTTGAGCTCAGGAGGTCAAGGTTGCAGAGAGCCGAGCTTGTGCCACTGCACTCCACTCTGGGCCACAGAGGGAAACCCTGTCCATAGGCCTCGGCCTCCCAAAGTGCTGGGATCACAGATGTGAGCCACTGTGTCCGGTCCATCTGACTTCTCAAAGACTTTAGACCTTGACTTCAGAGATTTGTTGTAGTCTTGTATGCTTCTCTATAAAATTTTAATAAATGAAATGTCTTATTTTTGCAGAAAATGTTTATTAAGTGCCCTGTGACTTTA